ACTCCATAGATCATAGAAGCCATTTTGCTCCTGTCTATGCTTTTAGCCAGAAACTTCTGAAAGCTATAATCATATTTTTCCAAAATATTTTTGCATTCAGATTCAGTTTCAGAATCAGAGTTTTGTTGAGCTAATTCAGAATCAGTTTTCAATTTTAAGTTCTTTTCATTTAGCTCAGCTACTTCTGATTTGAGAATATTATTCTCAGATACAAGATTGCTTTGACGCTTCTTGTATTTGAGCTTAATATTGTTATAGCTTTTCAGAACTTCTGATAACACTTTGATAAGTTCTTCTTTAGTAAGTTTAGCCATTACCTCTTCAGCGTCAGAGTCAGATTCAGAATCAGATTCAGATCCTGAAGTTCCTTCCTCCTGATCTTCTATGTCTGCCATCAAAGCTACATTGGCACATTCTTCTTCTGACTCAGATTCAGATTCAGATGTATCTGAATCATCCCAAGTGGCCATCAGAACCTTTTTCTTCTTATCAAATTTTCTTTTAGGCTTTTCTTTCAGCACCTTTGGACATTCATTTTTGTAATGTCCAGGTTCTTTACATTCATAACAGACAACCTCCTTTTTGCCAGATCTTCTGTGTCCAGAAGATTCTTTTCTTTGGTCAGGCTTTCTGAAGTTTCTGAACTTCTTTCCTTTATGCTTCTAGAGTTTGTTTATTCTTCTGGACAGCATGAACAGTTCATCTTCATCTTCAGATGAGGATTCTTCAGAGCTTTCCTCTATTACATGCAATGCTTTAGCAGATTTATTAGATTTTAAAGCTACAGATTTACCTTTCTTTTGAGGTTCATCTTCCTCAAGTTCTATTTCATGACTTCTTAGTGAACTGATCAGTTCCTCCAAGGAGATCTTGTTCAGATCTTTAGCCATCTTCAGCGCTGTCACCATAGGTCTCCATCTGGTGGGTAAACTTATGATGATCTTTTTCACATGATCAGCAGTAGAGTATCCTTTGTCCAGAACCTTTAGTCCAGCTGTAAGTATTTGAAATCTGGAGAACATAGCTTCAACAGATTCAAAGTCTTCCATCTTGAAGGCTTCATACTTCTGGATCAGAGCCAGAGCCTTTGTTTCCTTGACTTGAGAGTTTCCCTCATGAGTCATCTTTAAGGATTCAAACATGTCAAATGCAGTTTCCCTGTTTGTAATTTTTTCATACTCAGTATGAGATATTGCATTCAATAATATTGTTCTGGCCTTGTGATGATTTCTAAATTCTTTCTTCTGAGCATCTGTCATAGATTTTCTGTTTATCTTCTTGCCATTCGCATCTGTGGGATGAACATATCCATCTATGACCAGATCCCATAAATCAGCATCATATCCAAGGAAAAAACTTTCAATTCTGTCTTTCCAATAATCAAATTTCTCCCCATCAAACATAGGGGGTTTGGTGCTGATTCTGTCCCTTTCTTCATATTTGTTGTTAATGTTAGACATTGTATTATCAGCCATAGTAACAACCAAATATATATATCAAAGTATTTCTCTCTAGATCTTTACTGTCACTGTTAAGTGGTAGCACACACAGAACCGGAGCTCTGATGCCAACTGAAGGTGAGATAATACTTAGAAGGGGGGGTTGAATAAGTATGAAGATTAAAACTTAGAAATAAAAACTCAAGTATTTTTATCCTGGTTCGTTGAACTCAACTACTCCAGTCCACCCTTCCTAGAGTGATTTGCCTTTCTCAATCAAGGACTTAATCCACTATTTAATCAACTGATTACAATAGTAAGCACTTAGAACAACTGTTCAAAGTCTTCTCAAGAACTACTGATCCTAACTGGATCTTCTTAAGGATTACAATCAAACGTAAAATCAATACAAGTGTTTAAGATTGCTTCTATAAAGCTTTATCACAACTGTGATTTTTCACTTAACTATTTAGAACAAAGAAATAAATTCTTAGAAAGAATATGAAATAGTATGAGAGCTTGAATGTTAATTTCTTTTCAATGATAATGTTAACTGAAGAAATTGGTGAAGTCTTGCTTTTATAGGAAGCTGATCCAAGGTGAGCTTCACGTTGAGAAGAGTGTCCAAAAGGTCTGAGCCTTTTTGTCTTCACATCAAGTGACCTTTCCTAGAAGAAGAAAGCACAGAAAAATCCTTTTTGTCTGTGTTCTTGTATCTAGCATAAATAAGGAAAGAGACGTTTGGTTCACTCCAACGGATATAAACTTTGAATATTTCTTCTTCAGTTTTCAGCAAATTCATCAGAGTCTAATTGGGTCAGAGTCTTCTGATGATGATCAAAGTTTTGCTGAATCAGAGTCTTCTGCAGCAGGTGTGCTTTCAGCGTGTTTAAGATCAGAGCATATTTGAGACAGATCTTCAGTACTGGCAGCTTTAGTACTTTCAGAATCTTCTGTAGAAACTATGCTTTGAAAAACTCTTCATACAGACTTCTTCTTTGCTTCAGATGCTTCTGACTTGCTTCAGATTTTTCTGGAGCTTCTGCTTCAGATCCTTCTGGAGCTTCTGCTTCAGAATCTTCTGGAGGCTACGCTCAGGATCTTCTGTTGGCAGCAATCAGAATCTTCTAATGTATGCATCTGGCGCTACAGAGTCTAGCTAATTTCTTGTGTTCAATTCTGATTTGCTTCTGGAGTGTTAATTCCTTTACTATATGCAGTAAAAACTCTCAAGCAAATTTTAGAGTATATAATTCTTAAATACAAAATTTCATATTAGTTATCATCAAAACATAGAGATATTATTAAGAACCAATCTATGTTCTAACAGTCTTTTCGTTGTTGTTACCACGAACTACGAACACTCTGATTCTTCATTCATTCTTGAATGTAAGATACGTAGGCACAAGATTGCGATGATCTTGGCGAGCACACTTCTATTTTCCTCCATTATTCCGTCCACCATTCTCTCACATTTTCCTGTAGTCGAACTACGATGCTCTGATTTCTCATTCTCGTCCGAATGAGTATACATAGGCACAAGGGCCCCAATCCTTGGCGAGCACCCTATCTTCCAACCATCCCTTTTCCCTTAGCGTCTTTAAACCTTTTACCCTACCAATTCTACCTTTATCATCGAGAAGAAAAACAAGTAAACCTAGACAACACTCAGCACAAAATACCTTAAGAGGTTTCCGTTGAGTACAACGGACGCGAAGGGTGCTAATACCTTCCCCTTGCGTAATCGACTCCCGAACCCGGAACTTGGTTGCGACAGCCCTGTTCCTATCCTTTTGTTTTTAAGAGGTTTTCTCGATATTTTCCTCTCCCGTTTATTCGGGATAAATAAAGTTCGGTGGCGACTCTGTCGAACTGCATTTCCGCGCCTTTCGCGCGAGGGTCGTTTCTCTTAAATGTCTCCGTGATTTTTCGAGGTGCGACAGGTACACATCAATGTCATTCCCCGGTGATTGTGGCCCAGGAATCAACAATGACAACATTGTATATTCAAATTTCATGGACAACCAAGGAGGGTAGTTGTATACTACCATCATGACAGGCCATGTACTGTGTGATAAGCTCATGGTCCGGAATGGATTGAAGCCGTCACTTGATAAGCCAAGTCTTATGTTACGAGGCTCAGAAGCAAAGTCATGATGAAGTCTATCAAAATCCCTCCATGCTTGTCCATCCATAGGATGCCTTAATTTTCCATCTTTTAAGCGTTCTTCTTTATGCCACCTCATTTCCTTTGCTGTCTTTGAACACATAAATAACCTTTGAAATCGTGGAATCAATGGAAAATGTCTCAAAACCTTAGCACGGACTTTATGATCATATTTTGCATGCTCAGAAGACTCACTCTCTAATTGAGGAAACTCCTTCCATCGTGAAGCCTTACAAATATTGCAAGAGTTATCATTCTCGTGTTCTTTCCAATATAACATGCAATCATTCGGACATGCATGAATTTTTTTGTAATCGAGACCCAAATCACTAATCATCGCCTTTGTTTTGTTAAAAGATTCAGGAATGTTCAATTCTGGAATCGCTTCTTTCAATAATTCTAAAAGGGAAGTGAAAGATGCATTGCTCGATCCATGCAGACACTTCAACAAGTAAAGTCGAATTATGAACGATAGAGTAGAGAAGCTTTCACATCCGGGGTATAACTCTTGTTTTGCCTCATTAATCAACTTGTAGAACTTTCTTGCATCCTCATTATGAGCTTCACTACTTTCCTTTGCTTCAACCATATTTCTAAATGTGTCATACAATAAACCACTAATGTCATTAAGTAAGTTCTCTTGCTCTTTTGTGCCCTCCTTAATTTTCATAGGCGATGGTATATCCTCTCCATGGTTTACCCAAACATCATATCCTTTCACAAAACCTACGGCTATTAAATGATCGCGGACCACATGTCTTCTTTCCCATTTACAATTTGCACAATGATCTTAAGGACAAGAAATTTCACGTTCTTGAGGTCTTCCTGTGGTATAGGCAAAATTTAAAAAAGACTTAACACCTTTTCTATACTTCTTCCAGTGTCTTGGGAGTTTAGTCCATGATTTGTCCATACCTTTAGTCTAATTTAATTACAATATTTCAAACATCCATCAATAAATTTATAAACAAATAAAATGTATAAACACATAAGGATACACTATTATTTAAACCTCAATCTTTATACGGTTATGATTTCCCTCCACCTCAATCTTTATACAACAACAATTCATCTTCAATCTCCTGAGACCACAATCAAATTCACATTGAACAATCAAATTCACATTGGACACTCTGCAATTCTCTAGCTGCTCGCCGAACAACTGTACTGTTACGCAGCCCTCCTCCCAAGAGTTTTGCACATTGTCCACATTCTTTCTGAAACTAAGGTGGATGTAGAGATTTGATAGGTGAAACACCTTCATCAACACCATTAGGAGTTTTAAATAGAAATAAAAAAGGTCCAATATGGTTTATTTGATAATACTATTTTACTTTGCACTATGCAAGGATTCTGTAAGGATTGGTTTGGATATATTATAAAGATTCATCATCATGGTGACGAAAGGGAACCCGAGAGATAATAGAAATAACAAAGGTCCAATGTCGATTTTCATTGTATTTGCTTTGTGTGGTTTCTTCTATATATTAGGTTTGTGGCAAAGGAGTGGTTTTGGAAGAGGAGACAACATTGCTGTTGAGACTACTAAACATACAAATTGTAGTGTTCTTTCCGATCTAAACTATGAGACTCACCATGATGGTGAGGCTGGAACGGATGATGATCCAAATGAACAAGTCAAGGAGTTTAAGCCTTGCGATGATCGCTTCATTGATTACACGCCTTGCCATGATCAAGCAAGGGCGATGATGTTTCCACGAGAGAATATGAATTATAGAGAAAGGCACTGTCCTCCTGAAGAAGAGAAATTGCATTGTCTCATAGCTGCTCCTAAAGGGTATGCAACATCGTTTCCTTGGCCTAAGAGTCACGATTACATCCTATATGCAAACGCGCCTTACAAGAGCCTCACAGTTGAGAAGGCTATGCAGAATTGGATACATTATGAAGGGAATGTTTTCAGGTTTCCTGGTGGGGGAACTCAATTTCCTCAGGGTCTGATGCTTACATTAATCAACTTGCAGCTGTTATTCCATTGGATAATGGGATGGTTAGAACTGCATTAGATACTGGGTGCGGGGTAAGTCAAATCCTACTAAGAAAATATCCTTGTTTTGATATAACAGTTTGTTCAAATGTCTCTATAGCCGCTATTTGACAACATTTAGTACTAACACATAGCAGAAAACTTAGCTACAAAGTTTAAGTGAAAATATATGATGTTGATATCAAAGACTTGGGCCTCATTCTTGGTGGACACTATAGAGAGTTGTGGCAACAACTTCAAATTCATCCTAACCAAAGTTGTATCCATACTTTCTATATTGAGAGACAAAGAGTAAACAAGACTCTCATTCTCTCTCTCTCTCTCTCTCTCTCTCTCTATATATATATATATATATATATATATATATATATATATATATATATATATATATATATATATATATATATATATATATATATATATATATATATATATATATATATATATATATATATATATATATATATATATATATATATATATATATATATATATATATATATATATATATATATATATATATATATATATATATATATATATATATATATATATATATATATATATATATATATATATATATATATATATATATATATATATATATATATATATATATATATATATATATATATATATATATATATATATATATATATATATATATATATATATATATATATATATATATATATATATATATATATATATCACCATAACCACAACCACAAACACAAGCTGAGATACAAAAACAAAGTTCTTCTATTTCCTCATTACCATGGTAGAATCACATCTTCCATTATCAATATTACGTTTGGATTTGATTAGGTAAACTGTTTGTTTCAATCCAATTTATCTTTCTTTCCCGTTTGTTCCACCGTTTCCAAAATTTTAAATTCAGTCACGATACGTGATATTGAAGAGAATTACAATCAATTATGTATGATGCGGACTCAATTGTGGTTGTGTTGCCGTTACAGTCAGAAATATACAAGTCTTCTGGTGTCAACATCTTCAAAGGATCAATCTTGAATTTTAGGTCTTAACAATAACAACACAAATCAAATTTCAAAATCATTTTGGTACTACTATTCATTATTGCAATTGCAGAGATAAAATATTGAGTTATGATAACATTGCTATGATGTTTTGGTACTATTATTCTATTATATATAAGAAGTAAAATACCCGAAAGTGAGAATAATACTGAAATCTGAAATTGAAAGGTTGGGTTTGAGAATGAAAGTCAAATGCAGAACTAAGATTGAGAGTGAATACCCTAGAGAAAAAATATGAACATGAGAGATTGAAAATTGCACATTATTATTATTATTATTTAGAAAATTAGAATGATAAACTTACATTTGAGAGGTATAAGCAATGAATGAGAGAAGGAAGGACGGTTGCCGGCATGAATGAGGGTGAAAGCTTGCAGAGAGATGAAAAAGTTAGGGTTTAAACAACCCCCAATTTTTAGAAACTATATATGTGGCGCGGATGAAAAATTTAAGTTTTAGAACAGATTAATTAATTAATAACTTTCGAATTAAAATTAAAACCAAACGGCATTGTTGTTCTGGTGGTAGTGAAGTTTTGAAAAAAAAAAGCGTCCACACGTAAAAACACGTAGCCTATGTTACTTATAGGGACGGTTTTACAGTCGTTGTCTATTCCTCCATTGCCTAAAGTCATTTTTGTTGTAGTGATAATACGAAAGAAAGGAAAGAGCAATTACAACGTTCATTACCAAGAGGCCTGAGAACTCTGCCAATCATTTGGCCAACACTTTGAAGAGACTTTAAATTATTTTCTATTTTGTTGAACTCTTTCTTTGAAGCTCGCCAGTTCTCCCTCTTTCAAAACCAAAGTCACTATTCTAATCCACGAGTATTCAAGTCGGCCATTAGAAAAAGAAAGAAAAGATAGCAGACCATAATAAAGAAGTAACAACGAAACTGATTGCTATTGTAAAATCATAATTATAATCATAATCTAAAGAAATAGACTAAAGAATCTCCATTATTGAAGAATATAAATTGCTAGAAATAGTTTGTGGGCAAAACTAGCTTAGATGATACTCTGTCCCCATTGTCGTACCTCAAAAAATGAGAACGACCTCGCGAAACACAATTGCACGCTCGGGGATGGACTTAACAGAGTCGCCATCAATTTTTATTTATTCCCACAGAGAGAAAGAGAAAATATAAAATAAAACACCTAAAAGAAGGATATGGATATGGTCGTCGCAACCAATATCTGAGTTCAGGAGTCGGCTACGCAAGGGGAAGGTATTAGCACCCACGTCCGTTGTACTCAACACAAACCATTTAGTTAGGATTGAATGGGTGTTAGCTTATGTTAGTTTCTAATCTTCTAATTATTGAGTGGGAAAAGATAGATAAGAGATTTTTTTTGGATTTTTATTAAAGAGAAAGGGGACCTAAGAGTTTATTACTAGGAGGCTCGACAAGACTTTGCAATCTCGTGCCTACGTATCCTCATAGTGCAATGAGGAACTCAGAGCCTTCGTATTTCGTGGACTACGGTAGAAAAAAAGGGTGAAAGGTAGCTCATCAAGAATTAGGGCCCTTGTGCCTACATATTCTCATTGATAAAAGAGAAATCAGAGCATCTGTAGTTCTGGGTAACAAGGTTTGTTTGTTTGTCGATTTTAACGAAAGATACTTAGTCGCATTCGACAAAAAAATATTGTTTTACCCAAAACAGGTGAGAAGCAGACGTTTGCATTACAATAGAATGGATTTACAAATCAACATTCGCGGGAAATGCCTCTTATCTCAACTCAAAGTAGTTTGTGGACGAAGCAATGTTTTGTGTGTCGTCTCAAGACAATATATCTTTTGTTTATGAAAAAAAATTAGGGATTATTTGCACGACGGCGAGACAAGATAGTTTGATGTGTTGGATATATTTAAGTGAATGACAAACATTTAATCAAATGTTCGAAGAGTTGTGCCAGAATGCTTGATTCCAACGACCCTTATTCATTCAAGTTGTTATGAAAATTATTTGATGGACAATGAACTCTTGATGATAATCAATTGTTCAAAGAGTTGCGCAAAGATCTTAGATCTCAACGGCCCTTATTTGTCCAAGTTAATATTAAGTGTTTTAAGAACGAAAGAAAATAATGAACGGTTATCCCAAAGTGCGAGACTTGAGACCAATCATTCGAGGGTTCTACTAGAATGCTAGATTTCAATAGTCCTCTTCTTTCGTATTTATTAAGAAAAAGTTTGATGGACGACAAACATTTGATGATAGTCAATTGTTCAAAGAGTTGCGCCAAGATGCTAGATCTTAACGGCTCTTGTTCGTCCAAGTTGACATTAAGTGTTTCGAATACGAAAGAGAAGAATGAACATATATCCTAATGCGCAAGGCTTAAAACTGATCATTCGAGGGTTCTGCTATAATGCTATATTCCAACAATCTTATTCTTTCGAGTTTTTAAGGAAAAAAAAGCTTGATAAGATTTTAATCGATTTAGTATTAATTGAAAGAATCCTTGAGATTGGTTTGAAGTTAATGCTATTTTGAAGATTTATCTTATTATGTATCCTCTTTGTCAATTTTATTTATCAATTAAAATTCTAGATTCAAGATTATACAATTCAACATATCACGTAATCACCCATGATTAATAAAACATATAAGAGTTCACATTTTTAAAAAACGATCAAACTAAATACATGTCGAGATTAATATTAAGCAATAAAACTGAAAGAAAATCAAAACTTCCGAAAATGTAATTAGACTAGCTTAAACTTAATTTATATAAAAGTAAACTATTTTATTCTTTACTTAGAGTGAAATAAACAAATAAATTCAACAAACTAAAAAAAATTAAAATGTAATTGAAACATTTTTTTTAAAAATAAACCATAAAATCAAAGGTTCTATTCTTTATGATTAAAAAAATTAAGATGAAAAAAAAACATAAAAAAGATAACAAACCAAAGTTTGAAAGAGATGGGCATTGAAAGAAGCCCATTTATGGGCGCCTAGATCCAGGTCTTGGGGCGGCGGGTCCCTTATGGGAGACGGGTTGGGTGTCTCTTTGATCCGGTTTTGTTACAACAAGTAAGAAGCAAGGAAACCCGAAGATTCAATACAATCGTTCCCTATTTTATTTCTGAAACAAAACAACACTCTGCACGCAAGAAGGAAAGAAAATTCAACCACATGATAAATGATGCTAAACCTCAACCTTCCTTTTATCTGCTTCTCTACCAATCGTATTCCACCTATTTCCTCTATCAAACGCACATGAACCACAATCTTTAACCGTGGATTTTGAATCGCAAAACAAAAATGGTTTTTGAATCCAACGCAAATAGAACGGTTCGGAGATCCGATGCCTCAACCAAACGTGAACGAGGTATTCAAACATGTATTTGAATATCTCAACTCGATTTCTCACTCACGCCAATACGATATTCGAGCGGCAGGGATGAACACAACAAGGCCATAAATGATAAAGTTTGAGACTTATCGGCATATCATTAAGACGAAACGTAACCAAATGAAACTTTTCGACACAATGATTTATCAGTACACAGGAAGAACAAAGAGTGAAACGAAAATACCTTATAGAAGACAAGTCTTACGCAAATCTCAGGTACTCTTTAGGCTTTCACAATCTTCTCTCTATCTATGAATTCAAAATTAGTCTGTCTGCTTCTAAGTTTTTTGTTGTAGTTTTGAAATATGTCTGTTTTTTTTTTGTTTTTCTTTTTCAAAAAGATGTATCAGTGTTATTCTGGTTGAAAATTTTGTGGTTTCTGGTTTTTTCTAATCCTTCTGATATAGAGTGGTTGTTTTAAAGAAAAGAACTATGTGTATGATTTTGTATTCTTTGATGAAAACGTGACTGCACTCCCCTCTCACACGAATCTTACTTCCTCTTTTATATTGAAAACTTTCTCAGGTTTCTCTTTTGTTATTGGAAACTAATATAGACATTTTGTGATTGTTCTAATTGACTTTATTGAATTA